CCTCGGAAGCTGCGGGAGCGGCAGGAGAAGAAGCTGGTGCAGGCCCTGGCTCGGCAGCTGCAGGATGGGAAGAGGAGGGAGCGAGAGGTATCAGGGCCCCCCATTGCCCCCATTGTCCCCATGGGGAAGGAGATGATGTGGTCCAGCAGCCATGGGATGTGTCCAGAGAGGGATGCTCCGCATCCTCCGCATGAGGCTCTGGTACCCTCAACAGCAACAAGTTCCTCTTGTAAGAGATGCTCCAGCCCCTGAGCATCCCTGTGGGCTCCTCTGGCCCCTCTCCAGCAGCTCCCAGTCTCTTGTACTGGGACACGGGGCTCCAGGCGTGGCCTCCCCTGGGTTCAGTAGAGGAGCATCACCTCCCTGGGCTGCTGCCATGCTGCTGATGCAGCCCAGGGATGCTCCTGGAACAGGAACCTGCTCATGGTCAAGCCATCACCCCCCAACCGGGTCCTTCCCGTTGCGGGGCACCCCCATTTACTGGTGCCACTTGCCCTTGTGGGGCCTCAGAAGGTTTCTCCCCTATGGGGCGTCCCATTCGTGGCAGCACAGCTCGAGGTGCCCCTTGGAGGGGGCCACTGATCCCTTGGGAATACCCCAATCCAAGGGGATGCCCCATTCCCTTTGCTTGGATGGGCTCAGGACCACGTTGCAGGGTCAGGCTGTGTCCGCCCCATGTGTGTGTGCCCCCATGTAGGGCTGTGGGCCCATGGGATTAGAGTGGCAGAGCCCCAAACCCATCCCGGGAGCAGCTGGGATGGGAAATGCCCTGGGGTGGAGCCAAATTCCATAGGGAATTCGCTGACGTGTGCTCCAGGCTGGAGCAAGGGGGGAGCTGCTGGTGCAGCGGTTCCTGAGCAGCACTGGCAGATGGATGGATGGGGGGGAATGGGGATGCTCCTGGTGCGGGATTAAGGCAGGAAGTGGGAATGACCTGGCCCTGTTCCCGCAGGAGAAGAAGCGGCGGCGGGAGGAGAACCTCAAACGGCGGCTGGAGAATGAGCGCAAGGCGGAGATCGTGCAAGTGGTGAGGGGCCGGGGCAGCAGCGGGTCCTGTCCCTGCATCCCATGGGAAGAGCAGGGAACGGCGTCGGGAAGGGCTCCTCCGTGCCAGGGGAGGAGCCAAGGGGATGCCGCTGGGGATCCAGGCTGAGGTTGCTCTGGAAGAGCCCCGGGAGCTGTGGGGCCAGCCCCATGGAAGGGTTTGAGGCTGAAGCACCAAGGGGTCCTGCAGCCCCGTTAGGGACCGGAGCAGGGATCTGGAGCCTGATCCATCCTCCTTTCATCCCCTTCCTTCCCTCCAGATCCGGAACCCTCTGAAGCTGAAGCGAGCCAAGAAGAAGCACCTGAGGCGGGTGGAGAAGAGGGATACCCTGGCCCTGCTCCAGAAGGCTCCCATCGGGAGCAAAGCAGCCATGGAATGAGCTGGGAATCACCGCCAGGCTCCAGGGCTCCGTGGGTCCTGCTGCTTCCTTCCCCCTCGCCTCCCCATAAGCAGGATGCAGTGGGGCAGAGCTGGGGTGGGCTCTGCAGCCCCGTGGGCCCCACAGGAGCCTGCTGCTGGGGCCTGGCCTGGCCTGGGGCTGGAAGAATGGCTTCAAATGGCCAAATCTGCCTTTTCTGTACCAAAAATGAGTAGGAACTGAGCCCAAAATGCCCTCCCAATGGCTTTGTGTGTGGGGGGGGCGGGTGATGGGGCCACCTTGGGGTCTCCTCTGTGCTAAAGGAGCTCATCTCCTATGGGAAGATGATCTATCCATCCCGTTGGGAATGAGCCCTGGAGCGCATCCCAAAGGCAGGGGGTTTGTTTCTGCTGCCCTATGGGGAGGGGACGGGAATGTGGGGCTGGTAGCCCATTCTCCATCCCTCGTGAGGGTGTCACTGGGTGGGCAAACAGGAGGTTCCAATGGGATAAAGCCCTGGAATGGGAGCATGTGGTGGTACCCAGCTCCAGGAGCTTCATCCTGGTGGGAACGCCGTGGGATGAGCAGTGCACGGGGCAGAAGGAAGCTTAGGGGAGGGTTAATGACAGCTGGGGGACCCCAATGTGTGGGGCAGAGCTTGACGTTGCCCCACGGAGCAGGATTGGGGATGGGGATTGCTCCCTTTGAGGGCTTCCAGAGGCAAGGAAGGCGGCGTCTATGGGGTGCACTGGGGCTATGGGGCGGTTGCCAGCGGGTCACGGGGCAGAAGGGCTTTGCCCTCGTTGCTTCCTGGTTAATGAATGATTCCCAAGGCATGGAAAAGCCCAACCTCTTCCACCACCTCCCTCCCCACACTTCCCCCCCAGCCTTTGCCCTGCTGGTAAGAGGTGAGGGTTGGGGGGGGGGGTGTGGGGTGTGGGTTGGAGCCCATCCCCGTGGCTTTGGGGCGGCTGTTGTTCCTAATGGGGTCTACGTGGCGTCCCCTAACCAGGGTTGGGATAGAGCCAGCGCCTCGCTGGGATCCCTGCCTGCATAGGAATGGGGTCTGTGTGGGAATGGGGGGCCCATAGGCTGTGCCCCCCCCCCCCATCCCTTGTCCCCTTGCCCATGGTCTTGGGGTGCAGAGGAGGAGAATGGGGAGGGGGAAAAGTGGGTGCTGGGGGTGGGGGAGAGGAGCAAAAGGGGTGTCCCTGTTGTTGGGGGGGGGGGGGGCTGGATGTTGTGGGGTGTCAATGGGGTGATGCTGCCACTTGGATGCTGCATCCAGCCCTGGTGTCCTCAGCATCAGGCCATGAGGATGCTCCGGGGCTGGAGCCGGGTTGGGAGCAGTGGGGCTGCGTGGGGAGCTCCGAGCAGCTTCCAGTGCCTGAAGGGGATGCAGGGATGCTGGGGATGGGGGTGATGGGACGAGGGGTGACGGGGTCGGAATGGAGCAGGGGGGATCCAGCTTGGCTGCAAGGAAGGAATCCTTCCCTATGAGGGTACCCAGAGAAGCCGTGGCTGCCCCATCCCCGGCAGCGCTCAAGGACACGGGGGGCTTGGAGCCCCCTGCTCCAGCGGAAGGCAGGGGTTGGGGTTCGGAGCTGGATCCCCCCCCCTATCCCACAGCCCACGGGCTGCAGTGGGTCAGGCCGCCCTGCTGCTCCTCTCCATCCCCACAGGTGCCCCATGGTGGAGGTGACGGTGACGCCGCGCTCCTCCCTCGCCGACCGCCCGGTGCGGGTGCTCGTGCGGGGTCTGTCCCCGTGCCAGCTCATCACCCTGCGGGCCTGGCTCCGGGATGAGCAAGGGGAACGCTTCCAGGCCCGGGCTTTCTTCCGTGCCGATGCTAGGGGTGAGGTGGATCCCGGTTACCAGCCTGCCCTCGGTGGCACCTACAGCGGCCTCTCCCCTATGGGGCTGCTGTGGTCCCTGCAGCCGGATACCCCCTTCCGCCGCCTGCTCAAGCGGGATGTGACCGGCAGCCCCTTCCGCATCCACGTGGAAGCCTTCGATGGTGTCCTCCTGTTCGATGGGCCCCGGCACCCACCCTTGGCTTCGTGCGAAGCCGAGCGCTGGTTTGTGGGTGCCGGGGTGCAGCGGGTGCCCATCAGGGAGGGCAGGGTGCGGGGAGCCCTCTTCCTGCCGCCCGGTGAGCCAAGGGATGCAGGGCGGGCGGTGAGGGAGCATCCCTTGGGATGCGCGATGGAACCGGCGCTCAGTGCCGGTTCCTGGGGCTCCCCCATAGGACCAGGACCCTTCCCGGGCGTCGTGGACCTCTTTGGGGCTGCAGGAGGGCTCATTGAGTTCCGAGCGGGGCTCTTGGCCAGCCGGGGTTTTGCGGTGCTGGCTTTGGCTTTCTTTGCCTACGAGGACCTGCCCCGCACCATGGCCCTGCTCGACCTCGACTACTTCGAGGAGGCGACGGCGGTGCTGCTCCGGCACCCCAAGGTGAGCGCCGCGGCACCCATCAGTGGGGTGCAGGATGGGGAGGTCCACGGAGGGGGCAGCTTTAAGGTCCCTTCATCCCATGGCGCATCCCACCCCATGGTGCTCCCAGGTGCGAGGCCCCGGCTTGGGGGTCATCGGCGTCTCCAAAGGAGCAGAGGTGGCTTTGGCCATGGCCTCCTTCCTGCCGGCGGTGCTGGCCACGGTGTGGATCAACGGCACCGCTTTCCTCCACGGCAACCCCTTGGTCTACAAGGACCTCCGCATCCCAGCTCTGCCCTATGGGATCGAGCGCATGCTCATCGCCGACATGGGGGCCTTGGACAGCTCTGCTGTCTTCAGCGACCCCCAGCACCCCGATCCCGGCTCCTCGGCCATCCCGGTGGAGAGGATCCGGGGGAAGGTGCTGTTTGTGGTGGGAGAAGCCGACCGCAGCCTCAACAGCAAGCTCTACGCCGCGCTGGCCGTGGCGCGGATGCCGCCGGAGCGGGCTCGCATCCTCTCCTACCCTGGGGCCGGGCACCTCATCGAGCCCCCTTGCTCCCCGCTTTGCAGCGTGTCCTGCCTCAAGGGCAGCCCCCGGCCCCTGCTTTGGGGGGGGGAAGCCAAGGCTCACGCCAGGGCTCAGGAGCACTCGTGGGAGGAGATCATCCGGTTCCTGGAGCGGGAGCTGGGATGCGCCGGGGCGAAGCTGTGATGGGGACGGGGAAAGGGATGCGGTTAATAAAGAGAGAGCGACGCTGCCTTGGTGCTGCACGGGATGGGGGGCACCGCGGGGGAGCGCTATGGGGGGGGGTTTCCCATTGGGAATGCTGGAGGGAAGAGGGGAGGGATGGCTTTAACCCCCCAAAAGGATGAGGGTGGAAGTGTGGGATGGGGGCTTCGAGGGCCCTTCATCAGGGACAAGGGGTGATGGCTTCGAACCGAACCAGGGTTTAGGTGGGATCTAAGGAACTCCTTTGCCCCATTCCCATTCCCGCTTCCCAAAGCCTCTGCTTTGAAAGCCTCCTCTCCCCCCGGCCATGGGAGGTGACCACGGCCCAGGGCATTGAGGTCGCTGCTGGGCACAGGAGCGAGGAGCCCTGGCACCCTCCCGGCATTCCAGGGCTCCGGAACGCGGCGCGTTGCCAGCAGCCGGCTATAAAACCCCATCCCGGGCACCGAGCCGGGCTCCGCGCTCGCCATGGGACCGAGCTGCTCCCTGCGGCTCCTGCTGCTGCTCCTGTGCCAGGGCCCCGGAGCCCTCTCGCTCCTGCGCTACCGCTACGAGTGCCGGGAGCAGCGCATGCAGCTGGAGGTGCAGCCCGGGCGCGGGCGCAGCGCCCGCTTCAGGGTCCTGGGTGAGTTGGGATGCGGGGAAGGGACCGGATCCCTATGGAGCAGCTCCTCAAAGGGCACGCGGGGAACCTGGAGCAGGGCTTGGGGTGTAGGGGTAGGAAACGGGCAACGGCTTTAACGTGGGGTCGGGGTTGGAATTGGGGGGAGCTTTGAGCTGCCGTCATCGCACCGCGCCCCACAGATGAGTTCGGGAGCCCCTTTGACGTCGCCAACTGCTCCATCTGCCTCCACTGGCTCCACAGCAGGGCGGACGGTGCCATCGTCTTCTCCTCTGGCTACGAGGGCTGCCACGTGCTGCTGAAGGCGAGGCCCCATCCCTGCCATCACCCCCCCAAATGCAGTGCTATGGGGCTGGGGGTCACTGTCCGCCCCGTTGCAGGAGGACCGCTACGTCCTGCGGGTGCAGCTGGAGGAGACGCTGCCCAACGGGGCCCTGCTCGGCTCCTATGAGGTGAACATGACCTGTCCTCAGCCCGCTGACGACGAGCATCCCGCTGGGGGCCATGGCAACGGCATCCGCCAGAGCCAGGCCGGGGTCCCGGTCCCCCTGTCCCAGCCGGGCCTCCTGCACCAAGCATCCCAATCCTCCGTGAGCATCCCGGGATCCCGGCTCGCATCCCAAGTGCGTCCGGAGCAGGGTCCCCCCCTGGCACGGGCAGAGCCCCAGGAGCAGCCGGGAATGGGGCATCCTGGGGGTCCGAGTCAAGTGGGTCGCCTCCGGCCTGGGCTTCAGAGCCAAACCCAGCCTGGTCTGGTGCATGCCGGGGCTCCGAAGGAAGCAGGAGCTGGGGTTCAGAGCCAGAACCAGCCTGGAATGGTGCTTCCTGGGGCTCAGCATCAACAGGGTCGTCTTCATCCAGTGATTCAGACCCACAACCAGCCCGGGCTGATGCAATCTATGGGTCAGAATCAACCGGGTCGTCTTCATCCAGTGATTCAGACCCCCAACCAGCCCGGGCTGATGCAATCTATGGGTCAGAATCAACCGGGTCGTCTTCATCCAGTGATTCAGACCCACAACCAGCCCGGGCTGATGCAATCTATGGGTCAGAATCAACCGGGTCGTCTTCATCCAGTGATTCAGACCCACAACCAGCCCGGGCTGATGCAATCTATGGGTCAGAATCAACCGGGTCGTCTTCATCCAGTGATTCAGACCCACAACCAGCCCGGGCTGATGCAATCTATAGGTCAGAATCAACCGGGTATTGTACATCCTGGGGTCCAGACCCAAACCCAGCCTGGGCTGATGCATTCTATGGGTCAGAATCAACCAGGTCGTCTTCATCCAGTGATTCAGACCCCCAACCAGCCCGGGCTGATGCATTCTATAGGTCAGAATCAACCGGGTCATGTCCGTCCTGCGGTTCAGACCCCCAACCAACCTGGGCTGATGCATTCTATAGGTCAGAATCAACCGGGTCATGTCCGTCCTGCGGTTCAGACCCACAACCAACCTAGTCTGGTGCATCCCAGGGCTCCAACTCAACCAGGACATCTTCGTCCTGGGGTCCAGACCCAAACGCACCCGGTTCTGGTGCACCAAAGGGCTCAGACTCAAGCAGGAGCCCTTCGTGCGGGGCTTGCACCCCAGAACCAGCCCGGGTTGGTGCACGGCGCCGGTGCCTTCATGCACTCTGGTGCTCAGCCCCACACGGGCTTCGGACGCCCGGGGGCTCAGCCCCCAAACCAGCTGGGTTTAACCCATGCCAACCCTCAGCCCCACTCCCAAGGGAGCCGTGTCCATCCCGGGCTCCAGAGCCAAGCCGGGCTGCTCCATCCCAGCCATTCCCGACCGGCTCTAACCCATCCCAGCCTCCAATCCCGGCCGGGTTTGATCCGCCCTGGTCTCCATGCTCAGCCCCAGCCGGGTCTGGGGTACCCAGGACTCCAGCCCCAAGCCCAGCCCGGTTTGATGCGGCCTGGCCTTCAATCCCAGCCCAGCCTGCTGCAATCCACAGCCCTCTTCTACCCATCAGCAGGGGCAGGTAAGCGGAGGGGATGTGATGGGATGGGTCCCCTGGACCAGCGGGATGCTCGGGGGGCTGCTTTGGCACGGGGTGCTGAGCGCAGGGTCCCCTTTGTGCCACGCCAGGCACCCCGCTGAGCCGGGAGCAGTGCCAAGTGGCCGTGGGGAGGATGCCCTGCGTGGCACCGCAGGGCCGGGATGCGTGTCTGCAGGCGGGATGCTGCTACGACGACATGGACCGGGCTGCGCCCTGTTACTATGGCAACACCGGTAGGATGCTCGGGGCAAGGGGGGGGGGGTGTGTGTGTGCCATCACCTGCGTCCCTGGTTGGAAGCTGCTGGGTGGATAAATGGGGCTGGAGGCGCCCTTTTAGAGGGGAGATTGGGCCTGGTTTGAAAGCCAATGCATTGGGGCAGGCTGCCCAGGGCAGCGGTGGAGGCTCAGGACCGGTGCAGATGCGGCCCTGGGTACCATGGGTTAGGGGGTGGCCTTGGGGCTGGATCTTGAGCTCTTTTCCATCTTGGTTGATTGAGGAGCAAGGAAGTGGTGCCTGCCCCATCCCTGGCCGTGTTCAAGGCCAGGCTGGACCCAGGGGTTTGGAGCATCCTGGAGCATCTCCCTGCCCATGGCATTGGATGAGCTTTACGCTCCCTTCCACCCCACCCCGTGCCATGACTCCCTGGTGCTGGGCTGACGGGCTGGCTCCCTGCCGCCGCAGCCACGGTGCAGTGCCTGCTGGACGCTCACTTCGTGCTGGTGGTGCCGCGGGGGCTCAGCACCCAGCCCTACAACCTGGACAGCGTGCGCCTGGCCAGCGGCCAGCCCGGCTGCGAGCCCCTCCGAGTCACCGAGGCCTTCGTCATGTTTCGCTTCGCCGTCACCCAGTGCGGGACCACGGTGCAGGTGTGGGGACGTGGCACCCATCATCACCATCACCATCACCGTGGGGTGCTCATGGCACCCTCACCCCGTGTCTGTGCCCGCCCCCAGGTGATCGAGGACCGGCTCATCTATGAGAACCAGCTCATCTCCACCATCGATGTCCAGGGGTCCCCCCGGGGCTCCATCACACGGGACAGCATCTACATGTGAGACACCAGCACCCCCCTTACCTCCAGCACCCTCCCTCCTGCTGGGCCTTGGTGCTGGCACCATGGACCCGTTCCCCTTTGGGGCTGGAGGCCATGGAAAAGAGGGGAGGGAGAGGGGGGATCACCCATCTCTGCCCTGCTCCCACAGCCTCCAAGCCCGCTGCATCTACAACGCCAGCGAGCTCCTGCCCCTCCGCATGGAGGTTGCCATCCCCACCACCGCGGCCCCCATGGCCATGCCGGGGCCGCTGGGGCTCCAGTTGCGCATCGCCACTGGTGAGCACTGCACCCACTGGTCCCCCCCATCATCATCATCATCCTCATCCCGCGCTCAGCTTCTCCCCCGTGCCCCATAGATGAGAGCTACAGCTCCTACCACCCCGCTGCTGACTTCCCCTTGGTGAAGGTGCTGCGGGACCCCATCTACGTGGAGGTTCGGCTCCTGCAGAAGACAGACCCCAACTTGGTGCTGGTGCTGCACCACTGCTGGGCATCCCCCAGCACCGAGCCCGCTGCCGAGCCCCAGTGGCCCATCCTGGTGGAGGGGTGAGCAGAGGGCAACAAGAGATGGGGCTCTTGGGGGGGGGGGGGGCACCCACCTTAACCTCAAGGTCCCTTTTGCCCCCCCCCAAGGTGCCCCTTTGGAGGGGATAACTACAGGACCCAGCTCGTGCCTGTTGGACCAGCGTCCCCACAGCTCCCCTTCCCCAGCCACTACCAGCGCTTCGTCATCTCCACCTTCACCTTTGTGGAGCCCCCATCCATGGCAGTGCTGGAGGGAGAGGTGAGGGGAGGGGGTAGGAATGCCCCCAAACCCCCCCCCCCATGGAGGGGTGAATGGGGCTCTATGGGGCTTCCAGCCTGATGGAGCCCATGTGTGGGTCGCAGGTGTTCATCTCCTGCAGCGCCTCCGTCTGTCACCTGGCCCAGCCTGAGCCCTGCCGTCCCTCCTGCCACCTCGGGGTGCCCTCACGTGAGTCTGGGGGGGTCCTGGGATGGGGACCCCCCATTGTGTGTGTGCCCCCAAACCAAGGCCCTTGTCCCTCCCCAGGAGCACGGCGGGCAACGAGAGTCAGAACTGGAGCCATGGGCACGGTCAGCTCCCAGGGCAGCATCGCCTTCCCCATGGTGGCCAAGCTGCAAGGAGGGGGCTGAATTCCCTGCTCTTCCTCACCCTTCATCCCTGCTCTTCCTCTTCCTCTCCTCCAGGCAGATGTTGCTGCACCTCTGGGCGAGCTGCATCAAATAAAGCCCCTGGAGCACGGCTGGAGAGGGTGCTTTGTGCTTAACGGGGATGGGGGGGGGTAGAATAGGGTCCCATGGCCAAGCTGGCAGCACCCACATCTCAGCCCACTGGTGGTGCCCTCCTCAGCCCAGGCGCAATGGAGCACAGGGGATGGTGAAGAGCTCTTTATTTCCACCCTGAAACCAGATAATGGATACAAACCCTGCCCATTCCCCCCCCCCAATTTCCCCAGCTGCAAACATCCACCAGTGCCAGGATGGGGGCTTCTCATCCCGATCCCAAGCACAACCGTGGAGCTAAAGGCAGGGAAGAAAAGACACACAGGAGGCTGCAAAGCAAAAACCCAACTCCAACCACCCCAGGAAGGCCAAAACCCCAACAGCTACGGAGGAGAGCCTGGAGAAGGGATGAACCCGGCTCCCTCCCTACCCCATCCCGGATCCCCCCCTCCCCTATCCCAAACCCCATTGAGACCCCAGCTCCGTGGCTACAGGCTGTAGAACTTGAGGCTTCGGTCCATGCCCGTGGAGGCGATGAACTTGGCGTGGTGGCCAAAAGCCACCCCCGTGGTGAGGCCACTGTGCTCTGGGGAGGGAAGAGACCACGGCTATGGGACCAAGCAGCGTTGGACCCTCCCCGGAGGGTGCACAGAGAGAGGTTCTGAGGGGGGGAGAAGGGTTTCCTGCCCTGCCGTGCTCACCTGTGAAGTGAAGGATCTCGGTCCACTGCTTGCAGATGTAGATCTGCACATCCGTCCCGCCCAGCGCCAGGTAGGTACCGCTCTGGTCGAAGATGAGAGACTTCACCTATGGAAGAGAAAGGGAAAGAGGCTCCCGTGCCAGCTCCTAAAGCTCCATGGGGCTCAGCACCCCGGGGCTGCTCCCACCTCGAAGTTGTTTTCCAGCTGCAAGGTCTTGAAGTTCTTGAGCTTGCGGAGGTCCCAGAGCTTGACAGAGGAATCGTCGGCGGCCGTGGCCAGGTAGTAGCCGTTCTCCGAGAAGGCGATGCTGGTGATGGGGCCCGAGTGGCCCGGGAAGTTGGCCACGTTGGTGCGTTCCTAAGGGGGGAAAAGGCAGCAGGGAAGTGGGGAACGCTGCAGGCTTGGGAAGCTGCGCGTGGAAAAGGAGCTGAGCAGGAGCAGCTTGTGCCCAGGCAGCCAAGAAGCCCCCAGCATCCTGGTGCTGCACCAGCACCAGTGCAGCAGCAGGAGCAGGGCAGGGATTGGGCCCCTGTGCTGGGCACTGGGGAGGCTGCACCTCGAATCCTGTGCTCAGCTCTGGGCCCCTCACTGCAAGAGAGACCTTGAGGTGCTGGAGCGGGGACAGAGAAGGGAACGGAGCTGGAGCAGGGCCTGGAGCCCAAGTGTGATGGGGAAGGGCTGAGGGACCTGGGGGGTTCAGTGTGGAGAAGAGAAGGCTCAGGGGGGACCTGATGGCTGCCTGCAAGTGCCTGAGAGGAGGATGGAGCCAGGAGGGGCTGGGCTCTGCTCCCAAGGAACAAGGGATGGGACAAGAGGAAACGGCCTCAAGCTGCCCCAGGGCAGGTTTAGATGGAGCTGAGGAACAATTCCTTCCCCAGAGGGTGCTCAGGCATTGGAACAGGCTGCCCAGGGCACCGGCCCTGCAAGTGCTCCCAGACCCTATAGACAAGGCCCTCAGTGCTATGGGTTATGGAGGCCTCAGGGTTGGACTTTGTGCTCTTAAAGCTCTTTCCCAGCCTGGCTGATTCCATGACCATGGTTCTGCTCCAGTCAGAACCAGGCTGGGTGAAGTGGCTGCCCCTGAGCTGAAGCTCTGTGGGTCCAGAACCCCCAAAGTCCATGGACTGAACCCTCTGCATGGCACTGAACCCCATTCCCCTGGATGCTGCCTCCCCATCCCCTCCCCTCGCACACCCGGAGCCGGTTCTACCTTCAGATCCCAGATCTTGATCTGGGAGTCCATGGTTCCCGTCCCAAAGATGAGCCCATCCGGGTGGAACTGGGCACAGGTGAGAGCTGCAGAGACACAGGAATTGCATTGGGAAGAAGCTCTTCCCTGGGAGGGTGCTGAGGCGCCGGCACAGGGTGCCCAGAGGAGCTGTGGCTGCCCCATCCCTGGCAGTGCTCAAGGCCAGGTTGGAACTGGGTGAGCTCCAAGGTCCCTTCCAACCCAAAATATCCCATGATTTGGAGGACTGGGAAGGATTTCTTTGCCCCCATCCCCATCCCCATCAAGTTCTGATGAGCTCCAGGACATCAGGGACCCACAGGGAGGAAAATCCCTTCTCCAGATGCTCCCACCAGGGTTGGGATCCTCATCCCCATCCTTACCACAGCCAGAGCTCTCATCCGTCACCTTGGTGAGCACACGGCCTGTCTGGATGTCCGAGAAAGCCCAGTACTGGAGGGGAGGGAGAGCGCGGTGAGGAGGTGAGGATGAGGAGGAGCAGCAGGAGGAAGGTGCTGGGCTCTCACCTGATCATCTGAGGAGCTCAGCAGGTAGTCACCCGTGGCATGGAGGCTCAGCCCTGTCACCGAGCCCTCGTGGGCACGCACCACCTGCACGCAGGAGGCGTTGGGGACGGACCAGATCCGGATGGTGGCATCCGGAGAGGCTGAGAACACCAGGTCCTGGGCAGGGAGGGAGGAGGATGCTTGAGCTCAAGAGATCTCTGTGGCTTGCATGAGGTGGAGGCCCCCATCCGGAGCGGGGTGGTTATGGGCGGGAAGAGGGGCCTGGGCACAACCTGGGATGGATGGAACACCACGCTGGTGACCTTCTTGGAATGCCCTTTGAGCGTGGCCAGGATCTGCTCCGAGCTCTTGTCGAAGACGATGACGTTCTTATCCGCCCCACCTGGAAAGAGGAGCAAGGAAAGAGGAGAGCTGGGAGCTGCACCTCCGGTCCTGCTCCCAGCCCTTAGGAGAACCCCTCCTGTCCCTTGTCCCCCTGCTCCCAGGTGCTCCCCAGCAAGCAGAGGGAGGGGACCTTTTACCAGTGAGGATCTTGTTGGTGTCCGAAGGACACAGGTCCAAGGCCAGGATCCCCGGGATGCTGGCGCTGTGCAGCCCCTGCGTGACGTGGGAGGACACCCGGTTAAGGCCACCAGCCCCAAAAAGGCTCCTTCCATGAGGGCAGGAGTTTGGGGAGCATCTCCTCAGGCACAGCGAGCCGCAGCCCCCCCCCCCACTTCCACACTGATGCATCCCTTAGGGCCGCACGGGGAAGGTCCCGTGGCACTCACCACGTGCGAAGCAACCTGCCGGTACTTGCTGAGCTCCTCCGGTTTCACCAGCTCCTCCGGCACCGTCTTCCCTCTCTGCAGAAGGGAAAGGGGATGGGGACGGGCACGGGCACCTCCGGGAGGCCGGCACATGGACCTGGAGGTGGGTTCTGGGGGGGGCAAGGGAGGCCCTCACCTTCTTCCGCTCCGTGGTGAGCACCGTGGCCTTGTCTTGGAGCTGGGAGAGAGAAAGTGGGGGTCAGGGAGGAAGGGGGAGAGCCCAAAGGGCCACGAGCACAGGAGAGGCCCCGTTACCTTCTGGATGATCTCCGGGGTCATGCCTGCCAGCTCCCCCAGCTCCATGGGCTCCCCGGCTCCCTGCAGGGGACACAGGGAAAGGGGGGGTGAGACCCCAGGGATGGATGGAAGGGATGGGGTGGGGGGGAAGGAGTGGGGTGAGGAGGGGGACTCACGGCCACGTTGGGTTGGGAGGACGGCACCGCCTGGGGCACGATGAGCCCGGCCTGGGGCTTCAGGGTTGCCAGAGCTGGGGGGCAGAGGGGTCACGGGTGAGGAATGGGAATGGGGACAGCGGCCAGTGCAGGGATCCCAACCACAGCACCCAGCACCCACTGCCCAGTGCAGGGATCCCAACCACAGCACCCAGTGCAGGGATCCCAACCACAGCACCCAGTGCAGGGATCCAGTGCAGGGATCCCAACCACAGCGCCCAGTGCAGGGATCCCAACCACAGCGCCCAGTGCAGGGATCCCAACCACAGCACCCAGCACCCATTGCCCAGCACAGGGATCCCAACCACAGCACCCAGTGCCCAGTGCAGGGATCCCAACCACAGCACCCATTGACCAGTACAGGGATCCCAACCACAGCACCCATTGACCAGTGCAGGGATCCCAACCTCAGCACCCAGTGCCCAGTACAGGGATCCCAACCACAGCACCCAGTGCCCAGCACCCAATACAGTGATTCCAACCCCAGCACCCAGTGCCCAGCACCCAATACAGGGATCCCAACCCCAGCACCCAATACAGCGATTCCAACCCCAGCACCCAGTGCCCAGCACCCAATACAGTGATCCCAACCCCAGCACCCAATACAGGGATCCCAACCCCAGCACCCAGTGCTAGCACCCAATACAGCGATTCCAACCCCAGCACCCAGTGCCCAGCACCCAATACAGCGATTCCAACCCCAGCACCCAGTGCCCAGCACCCAATACAGGGATCCCAACCCCAGCACCCAGTGCTAGCACCCAATACAGCGATTCCAACCCTAGCACCCAGTGCCCAGCACCCAATACAGGGATCCCAACCCCAGCACCCAGCACCCAATACAGGGATCCCAACCCCAGCACCCAGTGCCCAGCACCCAATACAGGGATCCCAACCCCAGCACCCAGTGCCCAGCACCCAATACAGGGATCCCAACCACACCACCCAGCACCCAATAGTGATTCCAACCCCAGCACCCAGCGCCCAGCAGCCAATACAGGGAATCCCAACCCCAGCACCCAGTGCCCAGCACCCAATACAGGGATCCCAACCACACCACCCAGTGCCCAGCACCCAATACAGGGATCCCAACCACACCACCCAGTGCCCAGCACCCAATACAGGGATCCCAACCCCAGCACCCAGTGCCCAGCACCCAATACAGGGATCCCAACCCCAGCACCCAGTGCCCAGCACCCAATACAAGGATCCCAACCCCAGCACCCAGTGCCCAGCACCCAATACAGTGATCCCAACCACACCACCCAATACAGTGATTCCCACCCCAGCACCCAGTGCCCAGCACCCACTACAGGGATCCCAACCACACCACCCAATACAGTGATCCCAACCCCAGCACCCAGTGCCCAACACCCACTACAGGGATCCCAACCCCAGCACCCAGCACCCAATACAGTGATTCCCACCCCAGCACCCAGTGCCCAGCACCCAATACAGCGATCCCAACCCCAGCACCCAGTGCCCAGCACCCAATACAGTGATCCTAACCCCAGCACCCACTACAGGGATCCCAACCCCAGCACCCAGCACCCAATACAGTGATCCCAACCCCAGCACCCAGTGCCCAGCACCCAATACAGCGATTCCAACCCCAGCACCCAGCACCCAGCACCCAATGCAGTGATTCCAACCCCAGCACCCAGTGCCCAGCACCCAATACAGTGATCCCAACCCCAGCACCCAATACAGTGATCCCAACCCCAGCACCCAGTGCCCAGCACCCAATACAGTGATCCCAACCCCAGCACCCAGTGCCCAGCACCCAATACAGTGATTCCAACCCCAGCACCCAATACAGTGATTCCAACCCCAGCACCCAGTGCCCAACACCCACTACAGGGATCCCAACCCCAGCACCCAGTGCCCAGCACCCAATACAGCGATTCCAACCCCAGCACCCAGTGCCCAGCACCCAATACAGGGATCCCAACCCCAGCACCCAGTGCCCAGCACCCAATACAGGGATCCCAACCCCAGCACCCAGTGCCCAGCACCCAATACAGCGATTCCAACCCCATCACCCAGCACCCAATTCCAACCCCAGCACCCAGTGCCCAGCACCCAATACAGTGATCCCAACCCCAGCACCCAATACAGTGATCCCAACCCCAGCACCCAATACAGTGATTCCAACCCCAGCACCCAGTGCCCAGCACCCAATACAGTGATCCCAACCCCAGCACCCAGTGCCCAGCACCCAATAAAGGGATCCCAACCCCAGCACCCAGTGCCCAACACCCACTACAGGGATCCCAACCCCAGCACCCAGTGCCCAGCACCCAATACAGGGATCCCAACCCCAGCACCCAGTGCCCAGCACCCACTACAGGGATCCCAACCCCAGCACCCAGTGCTGCCCCCTCCTCCCCGATGCCCCCCTCCCGTTGTGCCACCTTCTCTGGCTGCCGTGACCTCCTTGGTGAGGCGGGCGATGACCCTGCAGGCAGCATCGTGCTGGTAGAGGGCATGGGAGAGCTCCTGGCGCGTGGTCTGCAGCTGCTGGCGCAGGGTGAAGCTGTGCAGCATGACTGCATCCTGCCGGGACGAGGCACGGGCACGTCGGCATCACCGGCACCGCCGCCACGGCTGCCGCAGCACCGCGCCCCACGGCTTACCCATTCATCCTGCAGGGCCTTCAGGATGGCCGGGATGCTGGTGGCTGATGGAGGCTTGGGGCGGATCGGGTGGGCGACTGTCGACGGGAGAGGGGGAGAGCATCAGCTGCAGTGCCAGCGCTCCAGCCCATAAACCATCCCCTGGAGAGCATCAGCTGCAGTGCCAGGGCTCCAGCCCATAAACCAGCCCTTGGAGAGCATCAGCTGCAGCCCCACTGCTTCACCCCATAAACCATCCCCTGGGGAGCATCAACTGCAGCCCCACTGCTCCACCCCATAAACCAGCCCTTGGGAGAGCACCAGCTGCAGTCCCAGTGCTTCACCCCATAAACCATCCCTTGGGGAGCATCAGCTGCAGCCCCACTGCTTCACCCCATAAACCATCCCTTGGAGAGCATCAGCTGCAGCCCCACTGCTTCACCCCATAAACCATCCCTTGGGGAGCATCAGCTGCAGTCCCAGTGCTTCACCCCATAAACCATCCCTTGGGGAGCATCAGCTGCAGCCCCACTGCTTCACCCCATAAACCAGCCCTTGGAGAGCATCAGCTGCAGTGCCAGCGCTCCAGCCCATAAACCATCCCTTGGAGAGCATCAACTGCAGTTCCACTGCTCCACCCCATAAACCATCCCTTGGGGAGCATCAGCTGCAGTGCCACTGCTCCACCCCATAAACCAGCCCTTGGAGAGCATCAGCTGCAGCCCCACTGCTTCACCCCATAAACCATCCCCTGGAGAGCATCAGCTGCAGCCCCACTGCTCCACCCCATAAACCATCCCTTGGAGAGCACCAGCTGCAGTCCCAATGCTTCACCCCATAAACCATCCCTTGGAGAGCATCAGCTGCAGCCCCACTGCTTCACCCCATAAACCAGCCCTTGGAGAGCATCAGCTGCAGCCCCACTGCTCCACCCCATAAACCATCCCTTGGAGAGCATCAGCTGCAGCCCCACTGCTTCACCCCATAAACCATCCCCTGGGGAGCATCAGCTGCAGCCCCACTGCTTCACCCCATAAACCATCCCTTGGAGAGCATCAGCTGCAGTCCCACTGCTCCACCCCATAAACCATCCCCTGGAGAGCATCAGCTGCAGCCCCACTGCTCCACCCCATAAACCATCCCTTGGAGAGCATCAGCTGCAGCCCCACTGCTCCAGCCCATAAACCAGCCCTTGGAGAGCATCAGCTGCAGTGCCAGTGCTCCACCCCATAAACCACCCCTTGGAGAGCATCAGCTGCAGTCCCAGTGCTCCACCCCATAAACCATCCCTTGGAGAGCATCAGCTGCAGTCCCACTGCTCCACCCCATAAACCAGCCCTTGGAGAGCATCAGCTGCAGTGCCAGGGCTCCAGCCCATAAACCATCCCTTGGGGAGCACCAGCTGCAGCCCCACTGCTCCACCCCAACCCCACCCCTACATCCCAACCCCTTTTCCATCCCTTGGCTCGCAAGGAGAGGGAATCCCAAGGGAATTCCTCCCTTCGGCCGCCCGCCGCGGACCCACAGCTCCCCCTAAGTGACCACAAGTGGGTCCTCCCCATAGCCCCATCCTCCTCAACCC